TGTGTTAGTTATAGTACCAAAAGTTATACCTGTGTTAGTTATAGTACCAGTAGTTATACCTGTGTTAGTTATAGTACCAGTAGTTATACCTGTGTTAGTTATAGTTCCAGTTGTTATACCTGTGTTAGTTATAGTACCAGTAGTTATACCTGTGTTAGTTATAGTTCCAGTTGTTATACCTGTGTTAGTTATAGTTCCAGTTGTTATACCTGTGTTAGTTATAGTACCAGTTGTTATACCTGTGTTAGTTATAGTACCAGATGTAATACCTGTGTTATTTATAGTTCCAGGTGTTATACCTGTGTTAGTTATAGTACCAGGTGTTATACCTGTGTTAGTTATAGTACCAGTAGTTATACCTGTGTTAGTTATAGTACCAGTAGTTATACCTGTGTTAGTTATAGTTCCAGGTGTTATACCTGTGTTAGTTATAGTACCAGTTGTTATACCTGTGTTAGTTATAGTACCAGTAGTTATACCTGTGTTAGTTATAGTACCAGTAGTTATACCTGTGTTAGTTATAGTACTAGTAATTATACCTGTGTTAGTTATAGTACCAGTAGTTATACCTGTGTTAGTTATAGTACCAGGTGTTATACCTGAGTTTTGTGTATCTACTGACACATCTGTGCTATATTCTAACGACACACCAGTTCTATATTCTATACCTGTGTTAGTAGCCTGATCTACAATGCTAACGGAACCAGTCTGTAGAACACCGGGACTTGTAGGCTCTGTGAGAGTTCCAGACAGTCCTGTGAGTCCCAGAGAATCTGTTGAGGTCAAGAGATCCATCGTCTTATAGCTGACACTCGATGTGAACCAGGTTTCTGACGGTAGGGTGACATATACACTGTTGGATGACCTCTGGTCAGTGCTGTAGCTGTAGCCGGCTGACATCTGGTCAGTGTTGATGTTGTAGCTGTAGCCGGCTGACATCTGGTCAGTGTTGATGTTGTAGCTGTAGCTGGCTGACATCTGGTCAGTGTTGATGGTGTTGCTTGCTGTAGTCCCTGAAGGACCGTCACCAGACACTGTGATGACGTCAGTTGTCTGACCAGCCAACCCACTTGTAATGACACCAGTTCCCGTGGGTGAGACGACCGAGTTGGGTGTGTCGCCAGCATCTGCCATTGTTGTTGAGAAACTGTCTGGTCCAGTTGTAAAGTCGGTTCTAAATGTACTCTCGATACCAACTGTACTGGTAAAGTCTGCTGTAAAGGAACTCTTATAAACCGATGTAAAGTCTGCTGTGGCTGAAATAGTAAAGTCTGTTTTAAAAGAACAACCATTACCGGGTACATAGTTGAAGTCTGCCATTCAACAGTTAAAAAAAACGAAGATTACTGGGTATATAGCTGAAGCCTGCTGGTAAAGAGTTAAAAGAACTAACATTGCCAGGTATATTATATTGCTTAAGCCTGCCATGAAAGGGTTAAAATAACTAACATTGCCAGGTATATTGCAAAAGTTAAAAAAATGGCCAGGTATATTGCTGAAGCCTGCCATTAAAGAATTAAAAGAACTAACATTACTGGTTTACAGCAGACGTCTGCCGTTGAGAGGTTAAAAAAAACTTACTTTCTGACTGTGATGTGACTCCAGGACTGCCGTTCAGAGAGTTCCCACTTGATGACGTCAGACTAGCACTGGCAGTGTTCTGGGCTTGAGAACTGTCAGGGGTGTTGGTCAGTGGGACACTTTGACCAACTGACAAAGGTGACATGTCGCTCACAGTATCGACAACACTAGTTGGTGTAAGTAGCGACGTAGTACCAACAACAGATGGGCTTAAAGACACCACCGTAGTATCAACAACAGATGGTGTTATAGACACCAACGTAGTACCAACAATAGATGGTGTTAAAGACACCAACGTAGTATCAACAATAGATGGTGTTAAAGACACCCCAGATGGGGTGGTAGTTATAGTGTCACCTGTAAATGGTGTGGATACACCACTTGTTAAAGACACCGTTGCTGTGGGAGAGATGACGCCACTGGTGGAACTTGTAAGAGTTGTCGCGCTTGCACTTATTGGGGTCTCAGAAATCCCAGCTGTGCCTGTTTGTAGTAAGGTGTTCGTGAGCCCAGATGTTTGACGTGACGTCAATGATTGATCTAAGGAGGGCTGTGACGTAGATAAACTTGCTGCTGTTGTTGGTAAAATCACAGATGTGGTTTGTGAAGAAGTGGGGTCTAAAGAATGGTCTTCAAATGTGCACGTCTTTTGATCCAGCAAACTGCTATGTGATGATGCGTTATATGTCTTCAATGCCCAGACTATGTCAAAGTATGTAGAGCATGTACCATTCACGATTTGATATGAATTACATTTACCAGCAGGTTGTTGCACTGAAGTTGGTAGTTTCCATTTATAACATGGACAAACGCTCTGATATAAGGTATTATTATTATCAGGTGGGTAGCAATATATGACGTTATAAACAGATGTTGCAGTAGCTGTGATATTTTCCCTTATCACGTTTTCAACATTGTGTGTATTATTTGCGTATCGTGTAGTGAGAATACACTCAACCATCGGTGTGCACAAGCAGTCGAAAAATCTGGAATAAAAATAATTTAAATTACAAATAAACAATGTTTATGCTCTATGGTTAAATCATCAAATTTAAATAACGAGTTTAATAGTTCAATGCTAAATAATTATTTGTATTACACCAACTAAATGTTTACCAAGATGTGGTGGTTCTATGAAATACACGGCACCTGACTACTTACTTTTGGCCCATGTTTGTATTAAACTCAATTTTAGCTCCATCAAGCTGAAAGGCTAACATGACATCAGATGATAAGCTGACGCCATTTATATATACTGCTAAGAGCTGTAGTAAATATATAACCTTCATTTTTACACTCAAAACTCTGGGCCTGTAATAGAAACATGTATTGATGCAAAATATAAAATACTGTCATGTAATTTTTTAAAGGTTTCCAGTGATCACATTTTAATGTAAGGAAACAAAAAATAGAAATATATTTGACGAGCATGTTTTCAAGACATTTCAACCTACAGAAATGAATTATTTGCCATCGTTTCTTATGCTTTGTGCGATAGTTGATTAGCTTACATCGAATTGATTATAAAAATAAATTTAACAATATGTCGAACAAAAGTAAAAAAAAATATCGGTACGATTTACATCTAATTATTTTTAAAAAAAATATGTAAAGTAATAACACATAGAATGTGAACAGTATAAAATGACATAAAATATTAAAATTAGTAACTTACTTTCTCACAAACTCCTAACAGATCAGAAGTTGTGCGTCCTGCCTAGCGCACTACCACACCCAGTCTAGTAGATCCAATGTGTCTAGATGTCAAGAACTTACGAAACAACATTCAAATGCTTTACCATACCACTCCCGCTTTATGGAACAACAGTGAAAGTCTCTACACACTAGAGCACTTTATGGAACAGTGAAAGTCTCTACTAGACCGCACCTACGCTATTATATTTACCTTCTTGACAATTTAATTTATTGACTGATCTGATATTTTCTGACAATGTTCGAGCTATCGATTTTTCTGGCATGCCTGGCCAGCGTATCGATTCACATCGAACTGCCGATGCCTCAGGTATGTAGGGGGGGGGGGGTATATCGCCTTAGGTGGAACACAATGTTAAACGTTTATATCCTTCACTGTATAACAAAGTTCAAGGTTCACTGTTAAATTAAATAAAACGAGTGAGAACGGTGTATGACTGGAACTCCTACTTTAGTCGAAATTAAAATATACACTATCTATTTAGTTTTAGTCATATTTATAGTCTGCGCCATTGAGATAAATAAACAGATATAAATGTAAAATGAACCACCAGAATAACTGCGCTATGAAATAAATTTGTTGTCTAGGACTCTGCTTCTATATATATATATATATATATATATATATATATATATATATATATATATATATATATATATATATATATATACCACGCTATTGTACATTAAAAATATATGACACCATACTATAGAAAAAACTGGGAATCCACTTGTTGTAACACAGACGAACCAAAACATTATAAGACCGATATGAAGCGAGACACTCCAGAAAAATGGACTGAGGATTACAGCAAAATCCTAAGGGCATTGATCGTGGTCAGGTGTTGATTGCACGAATTACTTCCCTGTTAGACCTTAAAACAAAGCTAGAATAAAAGAAATATCATAAAAGAATGTCATAAAACCCTATCAACAGTTTAATGGGCTGAAAACACAATGACTTCTGTCGATTAATTTTTAACTTCCTGGAATGCTAAATACTAAACCTCAATTCTTGAAATCTTAATTATTAATTAAATTAATTAAACATGTGTACATAAAAATGAGTTAGGTGAAAAGCTGGGATAAATTGGGTTTATTTCAGTACAGATGTGGTTAGCAGTTTCCTTTAGGTACGAAGTTGATTCCACCCCTCTCCCACCCACCACCACTTCAGCCCCCTCTCATTCCACCCTCCCTCCCCCCCCCCCGAACGGATCGTAATGGTAACATATTTTTCACATAAATTAATATACTTTACTCAGTGTCAGCCCCTCCTCGGAATGTATCAGGTAACCCCCCCCCCCACCCCCAGGAACGAAGTACTTCACCATAGAATGTTTCAAGAATCCCTTCCTCCCCCCCCCCTCCCCCCCCCCCCCACAAGAAACCCCTAATAGCCGTGTTGGTAACAAACTTCTACTTGTAGAATAAACAACTGTTTATATATTGCTACACATTATATTGCTATCGTCACAGCAGTAAACTCATTTACAATTTTTGGATAACTCTGTTTTTATTTTCACTCCTGTGAAAATCAGGATTACGTCCCATTATTTATTAAGACGTGTTGTGTTTTGTCTTTTATAATTGCCGAGTTGCAGTTAACTCATTTTGGGGGTGGGTTGAAGTTATTCTAACCCCACTAGTACCCACTCATACACCCCAACCCCTCCTACCCACCCCCACCCCTTGCATACGCCACTGTTACAAAGTATTTACAGCTGTATCTTCAGACGTCTGCTACTGTTTGACCTACATGCGACATACAACATTAACGAACAGTTGAAAAAACCAAGTACGTACAAACTTTCGGTTTTACAACAGAATATTATTTATAACAATAACACATGTTATTTTACTATAGCTGTGATTAATTTATCTCAATCGATTGTCTGATGTCTATAGCTAGTTTATCCTAAAGTTTGATATATGTAGTTAGTTTATCCTAAAGTTTGATATCTGTAGTTAGTTTATCCTAAAGTTTGATATCTGTAGTTAATTTATCCTAAAGTTTAATATCTGTAGTTAGTTTATCCCAAAACCGACTGGTGTTGATAGCTTTAGGATCGGGATAAGACATGTAAGTGTTACTACGTATGTGGTAGAGGAGTTCAACGCCTAGACGACTTTCTGGAATGTTCTCCAAGAATAAAAACACCAGAACGTTTCTGCCTTTGTGGGCAGACTCCATGTTGGCCATCTTGACCTCGTACTGGCACCAGTAGCTGTCAATCATGTGCTGGGTCAGTATGACCACAGTCCGTCTACTGGAGCACACAGCGCGGACTATATTGGACGCGATGTAGTCCCCAGCGGTGAAGTCCCGCCCATGAATACACAGTTTGAGACCCCGGGCCTCCAGCTCGGGGGAAAAAACGTTAAAAACAAAATCTTCATCGCTGGAGCTGTAGGACACAAACACATCGTACTTGTATTCCAGAGGGCTAGCTGTGCTAGACTTCATGTAGTACAAATACGCGGCGTAGTAGAAATATCGAATGTTCCACCTGAATCGGTACACAACGCCACACGATATGACGATAAAAGTTAGGATACACAGGCACGAAACTATAAATAATAAAACTATATTTGAAACACATTCCCTGTTTAGTATAGATAAAGTCGTATTGTAACCATCTGAGATCAACCGTAAGGAGGCGTCAGGGTAAAAACAGTAATAACGTGTCAACGTTTTATCAAAAGCTTTTGATTGGGTCATCCACTTGAGGAATGGGAAGTTTTCGCAGTCACATTTGATTGGGGTAGCCGCCATGTTGACCCTAGTGCCGAGGTTTTTCTTGACCAGAGAATCGATATGGTCCATGGCGGGGGGCGGGATGTTAAATATCCTGGCCCGGTACAGGTTTAGAAATTTTAATCTGCCCAGGTGAGAAATGTCGACGGTGAACTGGGTCAGGGGATTGGATGAGAGATCCAGGTACTCCAGGCTGACGAGGTGGGTGAAGATGTTGTCGGGCAGGTGGTGGAGGTCGTTGAGGGACAGGTTCAAAACCCGCAGGCTCTGCAGGCTGGAGAATACCTGTGTGGTGTTCAGGTTGTCCAGGTAATCACCCAGGTAGTTGGACTCAAGCTTTAACACCTCCAGCCTGGCCATGGAGGAGAAAAAACTCTCCGAGACAAACTCCACGTCACAGCTTGCCAGGTCCAGGAACTTGAGCTGGGTCAGGCCCTCTAGCGGACCCTCGAGGCGGGGGAAGTGGTTGTGGCTGATGCTCAGGTTCTCCAGCGTGTTCTCCGTCACATTGAACCCCGACACGACGTTACTCAACCCCGCCTGTGTCATCTCAATCACCTTGACATTGGGCGGCAGGTTCAGTACAAACGGTTCCACCGACACACCAGATTCTTGCGAGCAGTTGCTTCTGTAGTGCTGCTGAAAGTATGGGAACCGCTTGGGCAGCTTGTAGACCTTGGTGCCGCCGTTCAGTTTGAGAACTGTTAAATTTTTCATCAGTTTTAAATCCTTCAGGTACAGGTCTATGACGAACTTGTTCCCGCTCACGTCCAGCTCTCGGAGACTTGCAGGAAGTCTCGCGATAAATGACCGGTCAACGCCCTCCACGCTGTTTTCCTGAAAGTCCAGGACTTGAAGGTACCTGGGAAAATATTTAATGACGTCACTGTCCATGCAGTTGGCGAACGAGTACCTGTCAACAATGAGCTGCAGGCGCATTTCCCGCAGGTGCCTGTGGTGCTGAAGTCCGTAAAAAACGTTGTCTAGATACTGGAGGCCGATGCCTTCATTGTGGGTTAAATTGATGCTGACGATGCTGGTCAGAGGTAAAAAAGCCCCAGCTTCTATTTTATCTCCAAACAGTTGACAGTCCTGAAGGTCTAGAACCTGTAATGACGTCAGATACCGAAACGTCGAGTTTCGCAGGGACTCGATCATGCAGTAGCCGCCATTGTAACCCTGCAGGTTAAGTTTCACCAGTGACGTCAGGTGACCGAACCCGGGACCAAAGTCCTTGTCTTTGATTCCATCTATGTGCAGGGTCGTCAGGTTCCCGAGCACCGACAGCGCCTGGTCGGGGTAGTGCAGACGGCTGTCGGTGACGTTGACGTTGTTTCTGTTGATGACCAGCTCTCGTAGTGAGCTCAACGGTCGGAACGTCTGGACGTCGATGGTGGAGCTGCTGATGGTGATGTTGTTGCCCCAGAGGTTCAGCAGCTGTAGACGTCCTAGGCCAACAAAACACAGCGGGCATATCTGGGTCAGTCTGTTCATGGAGAGGTCCAGAACTTGTAGCTCGGTGTACCTGCTAAAGTAGGCGGGTGCCAGGGTTGATATGGCGTTGGCCTTTAGATCAAAGACCACGACGGTGGCTGGGTAGTTCTCCCTGGGGAGATGCTGCAAGCCTCTACAGCAGCAGTTGACGTACGTGCTGTTGTAGTCACACACGGTCAAGGTCTCAGAGGTCAAGGTCAGGTCACTGGCGGCTCGGTGCTCTGGCTGTGTTTGGTGAGACAAAGGTCCGGCTAAATCTGGTTCATCTAAGGCACCGTTGCCATGACAACGGCTAGCCAGCAGACCCGCAGCAGCAACACTTGCCCAGACCATCACGCTAAGCATGCTGTGTCAAGGTCGTCAGCAGATCGCTTGAATATGTGTCAAGGTCGTCAGCAGATCACCTGAATATGTGTCAAGGTTGTCAGCAGATCACCTGAATATGTGTCAAGGTTGTCAGCAGATCGCTTGAATATGTGTCAAGGTCGTCAGCAGATCACCTGAATATGTGTCAAGGTTGTCAGCAGATCACATGAATATGTGTCAAGGTCGTCAGCAGATCACCTGAATATGTGTCAAGGTTGTCAGCAGATCACCTGAATATGTGTCAAGGTTGTCAGCAGATCACCTGAATATGTGTCAAGGTCGTCAGCAGATCACCTGAATATGTGTCAAGGTCGTCAGCAGATCACCTGAATATGTGTCAAGGTCGTCAGCAGATCACCTGGATAAAAAAAGAAAGATATGTTCACAAGTTAAGTTTGATTGTCACCATTTATATCGTGAATTGATCACGGCGCATATGCTAATCTGAGGTAAAGACAACAGCAACAAGCTCACACATCAACAGGGTGTGTTGTAGGCCACGTAGCTCAGTGGTCTCAGCCAAATCTTTGTTGTGTTCATGTCAACAACAGCCATCGGTCCAGTAACTATTGACTTACATCACAGTGTAGCAGACATAAAATCCAGATGAAATATGTAAAACAACAAAACACTACATTGGAAAATATGATGTATGTTGTGAAATAGCACACACGGAATAAACAGGATGCGGCACTTGAGAGTACCCTCCAATGTTATCATTGTCCTTCACGGTACGACAAGTTTCCTCATAAAAATTTTTTTTAAAAATCTCCCGATGTTGTAAAACGATGAACAAAGTATATTAAAAGGGGGAAAACCTACTCCAATTTTGGCAAGCCAGTCACATGGGGTTATCCGGATTTTTGTTGTCGTGGTTCTAACGTTATTATTAAGCCACGAGATAAAGGCTGTTAACATACTTGACAAATGCTTATAGTACCACTTCCTGTTAGTTCTATAGGCCGACAGTTAACTGGCAGTTAGCTCCTGTACACATGTCACTAGACTGTCAGTTCATGTACACATGTCACTAGACTGTCATAACCTATACACGTGGCATTTTTTATGATGACAAGACAAAACTAAAACTATCGGTTAGTCCAAAAGCATTGCACGCTCTACTTACTGTTATGTTAATGATGAATGTGTTCACGGTACACACAAGAACAGAAAGGTAGACATGGCTTGCTTTGTGCGGTAGTTCGATGTACTAGACAACAGTATTGTTCTATGTGACACAACTGGAATTGTTGTATGCCAACAACTATGTTTTTTACAACTGCTATGTTCCTGCCATTTTAGATATACTGCAATGTATGACGTTACTCCTATTGTAGATCTACTGCAATGTATAGCGTTCACCCTCTATAAGTAAACAGCATTGTATGACGTTTCTCCCACTAAAAGTATACTGCAATGTATGATGTTAACCCACTATAAGTATACTGTAATGTATGATGTTCCTTTCGTTTTAAGTATTCAGCAAGGTATGACGTTTTTCCCGCTATAAGTATACATCGAATCAACAATGATGTGTCTCGGTACAGTTTGGTGACAAGTCACACATTTGATCTGTCACTAAATGTAATGTGTGTTGAGTATATAACGTGGCAAGACAGTCGGTGTTTAAAATGTAATGTTAAAAAAACGAACTTGAATTACTCACGAAGTTAAGATACATGCACATCATAAATGTATTGACTAAACAGGAACATGAAAATTGGAGTGTAAAGTAGGTCGGCTATAAATAGACTATGAGTAATAGAATACATTTATAGACCTAGTTTTCTTCTGTGTAAACTTAGACGCGGAACCAGTTTACTGTATGGAAGAAAATAATAAACTAGCTAGATCTAGATCTAGACAGATTTTATGACCTGTATGTGACAGATTTTATGACCAGTATGTGACAGATTTTATGACCAGTATGTGACAGATTTTATGACCAGTATGTGACAGATTTTATGACCAGTATGTGACAGATTTTATGACCAGTATGTGACAGATTTTATGACCAGTATGTGACAGATTTTATGACCAGTATGTGACAGATTTTATGACCAGTATGTGACAGATTTTATGACCAGTATGTGACAGATTTTATGACCAGTATGTGACAGATTTTATGACCAGTATGTAACCAATTTACTTGTGTGGGAGGGAGTATTCCTTGAAATAAAAAATAAATAAATTACACATAGTAGCCTACTGGAAAAAGTTACAACTGAAAGTTAATACGTGATTAGTAATTAATCGGGATTAGATCACTTAATTAGCTATCATATCCAATGCGTGTAGTCAACTTCTTATGGGTGGTAAATAACAGAATAAAATCCAATGCGAGATAATGAAATGGGTTTAAATAAGAGTTTTTTCCAGGCATCTCCTCGGGTGGCGAAGCCCCCCCCCCCCGAAAAAGTTCTACCGCCCCCTCCCCCCCCCCCCCCCGAACGAAATGAAATTTATATATTTTATATAGAAAATATATACTTTTAACAGTGTCCGCCCCCCCCCCCCTCCGAAGAAAGTCTACTGCCCCCCCCCCCCCCCGAAAATTTCAAGTGCCCCCCCACCCGGACAAAAAAGTCTGGAACAAACACTGGTCTAAACTCCAGCTTAAAGTATTATATTCTTCCACCATCATCTAGTCTTTATTATATTCAATCTTATTTATTTGGCCTCTAATCAACTATTTCCTCTAATTTAGTTTTGTAAGCTGAGTTACGGAGCTTAAACTATGATCTAACTCGGAGCTTAAACTATGATCTAGCCCGGAGCTTAAACTATGATCTAACCCGGAGCTTAAACTATGATCTAACTCGGAGCTTAAACTATGATCTAGCCCGGAGCTTAAACTATGATCTAACAATTGAAAGAAACATATCTCAGTCATCAGCTCCAGTTGTAGTGAGCCCTACATATTGCTCGGAGGATGGGTTTCAAGAGCTTCTACAGATGTATGTGCTACTACAGATGTATGTGCTACTACAGATGCATGTGCTCTACAGATTTATGTACTACTACAGATGCGTGTGCTACTACAGATGTATGTGCTACTACAGATGTATGTGCTACTACAGATGCATGTGCTCTACAGATTTATGTACTACTACAGATGCGTGTGCTACTACAGATGTATGTGCTACTACAGATGTATGTGCTACTACAGATGCATGTGCTCTACAGATTTATGTACTACTACAGATGCGTGTGCTATTTACAAATGTATGAGCTACTACCGATTTATGTGCTACGACAGATTTATTTGCTACTACAGATGTATGTGCAACTACAGTTGTATGTGCTAATACAGATTTATGTGCTACTACAGATTTAAGTGCTACTACAGATTTAAGTGCTACTACATATGCGTGTGCTACTACAGATTTATGAGCTACTACATATTATCAGATTTATGTGCTAACACAGATGTATGTGCTACTACAGATTTGCGTGCTACTTAATATTTATGTGCTACTACAGATTTGCGTGCAACAAAAAACTTTAAGTACTATTCTAAAACCTTGCCTGTTCTAATCACTACTGCTTAAATTAATGTTCAAATGTGACAATTTCAATGAGATAATTTTTCTTATATCTGCAGAGTTGGTGACTAAAGTTCTTTGGTTTTTTATGTTACCACACTTAATTATAATTTGTATTGGTTATTGGTGTGGGGAATAAGGCACCAGCATTGTGTGGGTAGAAGCAGTGTATGGTCGGTGTGGGCACAAACAGTGTGGGGTACATACAAACCAACGGACATGGAAGCTACACATTCTACCCATATGAATATTCTTAAGTTATATAACATTATTTTAATACATAATATATTATATCGATAACGATAGAGTTTAATTCATTAAAACATGTCAACTCCTGACTTTAACCATGGGATGCAACTTAGCCGAGTATAAAAACAATAACTAGCTAGCCTCCAACCCAGTGTATGTGAGCTTGAATGAGCCAGGTATTGATGATATTGTGGCAGGTGTTAACGAACACGATGTGATTAGCCACACCTGTTGTTTTATTGTATGGATCGAGGTGTGTTGTGCACCAGTTGTTGTGAGTTGCAATAAAGTAACGGTATGCCTTAACCAGAGCACACGTCCAGTGTGTAAGTGCTGCCCAACACGCTGTCATCTATACCAAACCAAGCTAGGTTGACTGAAGACTGGGATGAAATCACATTGAGCTCTACTAAGGTACTGTAATTAATACATAGAATTACTTTATAACACACTCGTCTATGTGGTGAAATGTTAAATGTGATGTCATCTTTAGACTTATAGTCTAAACGACATTAAATATGCAGTGGTTTGTGAATGAATTATTGTGTACCATTATATAAACCAGATGTGTACCGAATAGAGAGGAATGTGACGTAGATGTCTGTAGCATTACTTGCGCTAGATTGCGGAATTGCAAAACTGTCTTCTAATTTGGAATCAAACAAAACTATCAAGTTACAATGTTCAATGTTTACTGTATTCTGTAAAGGGTCCAATACGTACTATAACACTATATAGCAATAAGAAGGTTAGCCATGAGACGTAGGTTTACGCGTTATGTAGGTGGAAATATATGCACTCTGCTCTCAGTTGGCACTCATCAATGACTGTCTAGCACCCATCAATCGCTGTTTGTCATCCATCAATTTCTGTCTGACACCCATCAATGGCTGGCTGTCATCAATAAATGGCTGTCTAGCACCCATTCAATGCTGTCTAGCACCCATTCAATGCTATCTAGCACCCATTCAATGCTGTCTAGCACCCATTCAATGCTGTCTAGCATCCATTCAATGCTGTCTAGCACCCATTCAATGCTGTCTAGCACCCATTCAATGCTGTCTAGCACCCATTCAATGCTGTCTAGCATCCATTCAATGCTGTCTAGCACCCATTCAATGCTGTCTAGCACCCATTCAATGCTGTCTAGCACCCATTCAATGCTGTTTAGCACCCATTCAATGCTTTCTAGCGTGTGTGTGTGTGTATGTGTGTGTGCGTGTGTGTGCGCGTGTATGAGTGTGTGCGTGTGTGTATGTGTGTTTGCGTGTGTGTGTATACGAGTGTGCGCGCGTGTGTGTGTATGTGTGTGTGCGTGTGTGTGTGTGTGCGTGTGTATTAGTGTGCATGTGTGTGTGTGCATGAATGAGCAGCCTAAGCCAGCACACAGCTAAGGACACACCTCCATCACACAGGTAATTAAGGATGCTGGTAGCTATTGTGGGGACGCCAGGTGCTTTGTAGTAGTTGTAATCTATTCAACTCATTAATTAACATTTTAGACCTCTAAATTGTTCTTAAATGAACTAAGGATTATGACACGGTGAAGTAGCTCACTAACGTGTTGATATGAAATAAGATGGAACCAGATATTCCATCTCAAGGTGCTGTTGTGTGGTCTACGACTGCAGACTAGAGGAGGGTAGTAGAGGCAAGGGGAGTACTGGTGGGGCGGCCTCCATGTTCGCCTATCCTGGGAGGGGGGGGGGGGCGCCAAAAGTGTAGAAAAAAACATTAAGCTCATTCTGAGTTGCTGATTTATAACCAATCGAAGTTAGGGATATAAACTGCTATTTGGCTTTTAGGTAAAATTTAACTCTTTTCTACATCAAATGTGTGACACTGAAGTAAAAGCTAACAAAGGGCAGTAATTGGTGTAAATCGCTACGACCACGCCAAATGAAGAGGGGGGGGGGGGGGGTTGTAAACTAAAAACTCCAATTGGTCGCTTGCCTCTGATGAGCAGATAGAGAGAGACAAAAGGAATATCTCGTCGCAGATTGTCCTTTATATGTTTTGGCTTACAAATTCTACAAGTTTTTATACTGCTAGGACCGACAGATATTTGTAGTTACATTATGTTTATACAACTATCTTTTTAGGCTGTGTCTAGAGTTTAGACACAGCCTAAAAAGGAAGAGTCTAGACCATTAAGTAAAAGTGAAAGTTGATTACAGTTTGTATATTAATATTGTGTGTGACTATTAAGCTAAAAAGAAAGTTGATTACAGTTTATGTATTAATATTGTGTGTGACTATTAAGCTAAAAAGAAAGTTGATTATAGTGTGTGTCATTAGATTGTGTATAGACTTTCTGATGAAAGCGAAAGTGGTCTAAAGCTTGTGTAGACCATCAATAAAAAGTTGATTACAGTGTGTGTAGAGAAAGTTGATTACAGTGTGTGTAGAGAAAGTTGATTACAGTGTGTGTAGAGAAAGTTGATTACTGTGTGTGTAGAGAAAGTTGATTACTGTGTGTGTAGAGAAAGTTGATTACTGTGTGTGTAGAGAAAGTTGATTACTGTGAGTGTAGAGAAAGTTAATTACTGTGTGTGTAGAGAAAGTTGATTACTGTGTGTGTAGAGAAAGTTGATTACTGTGTGTGTAGAGAAAGTTGATTACTGTGTGTGTAGAGAAAGTTGATTACTGTGTGTGTAGAGAAAGTTGATTACTGTGTGTGTAGAGAAAGTTGATTACTGTGTGTGTAGAGAAAGTTGATTACTGTGTGTGTAGAGAAAGTTGATTACAGTGTGTGTAGAGAAAGTTGATTACAGTGTGTGTAGAAAAAGTTGATTACAGTGTGTGTAGAGAAAGTTGATTACAGTGTGTGTAGAGAAAGTTGATTACAGTGTGTGTAGAGAAAGTTGATTACAGTGTGTGTAGAGAAAGTTGATTACAGTGTGTGTAGAGAAAGTTGATTACTGTGTGTGTAGAGAAAGTTGATTACACTGTGTGTAGAGAAAGTTGATTACAGTGTGTGTAGAGAAAGTTGATTACAGTGTGTGTAGAGAAAGTTGATTACAGTGTGTGTAGAGAAAGTTGATTACAGTGTGTGTAGAGAAAGTTGATTACAGTGTGTGTAGAGAAAGTTGATTACAGTGTGTGTAGAGAAAGTTGATTACAGTGTGTGTAGAGAAAGTTGATTACTGTGTGTGTAGAGAAAGTTGATTACAGTGTGTGTAGAGAAAGTTGATTACAGTGTGTGTAGAGAAAGTTGATTACAGTGTGTGTAGAGAATGTTGATTACAGTGAGTGTAGAGAAAGTTGATTACAGTGTGTATAGAGAAAGTTGATTACAGTGTGTGTAGAGAAAGTTGATTACAGTGTGTGTAGAGAAAGTTGATTACAGTGTGTGTAGACCGTCAAGAGAAAGTTGATTACAGTGTGTGTAGAGAAAGTTGATTACAGTGTGTGTAGAGAAAGTTGATTACAGTGTGTGTAGACCGTCAAGAGAAAGTTGATTACAGTGTGTGTAGAGAAAGTTGATTACAGTGTGTGTAGAGAAAGTTGATTACAGTGTGTGTAGACCGTCAAGAGAAAGTTGATTACAGTGTGTGTAGAGAAAGTTGATTACAGTGTGTATTTGATTATTGGAAACCTCAGCCTCTAGCCGCTGTGTAAGCTGCTGTAATATGAGTCATGACGTGTATCACCAGGTCACGTGATCGATTTTCTTTTGATTCAACACAAACGGTTTTGCTGTTTCATCATTGATTTTAATTTCAAGTTATTGAACTTATATAAAGCAGTTAATCTCGGCGTCTATTTTCTCAAAATATTTTTATTTCATGTAAAGTTATTTTGATTTCTGCTCTAAATATAACAGTTGGTCCTAATGTAGAAAGATTAGTAATCATGTGTTAATATTGGGGTAACGTGGGGTGATTTGGGATATTGTAAGGTTGTGTAGAATAATGTGGGGTTGTGTGGGGTAATGTGGGGTTGTGTGGGGTAATGTGGGGTTGTGTGGGGTAATGTGGGGGTTGTGTGGGGTAATGTGGGGTTGTGTGGGGTAATGTGGGGTTGTGTGGGGTAATGTGGGGTAATGTGGGGTTGTGTGGGGTAATGTGGGGTTGTGTGGGGTAATGTGGGGTTGTGTGGGGTAATGTGGGGTAATGTGGGGTTGTGTGGGGTAATGTGGGGTTGTGTGGGGTAATGTGGGGTTGTGTGGGGTAATGTGGGGTTGTGTGGGGTAATGTGGGGTTGTGTGGGGTAATGTGGGGTTGTGTGGGGTAATGTGGGGTAATGTGGGGTAATGTGGGGTAATGTGGGGTTGTGTGGGGTAATGTGGGGTTGTGTGGGGTAATGTGGGGTAATGTGGGGTTGTGTGGGGTAATGTGGGGTTGTGTGGGGTAATGTGGGGTTGTGTGGGGTATTGTGGGGTTGTGTGGGGTAATGTGGGGTAATGTGTGGTAACGTGGGATATTGTAATGTGGGATATTGAGCGTGTAATAATGAGATAATGTGAGATAATGTGCGATAATACGGGATAATGTGGGTTCAAGATTTGGTACGTGGGGTAATGTTGAAATAATGTGAAGTAAAGCTGAGATGTAGCAATAATTAGAGATTGTTAGGGTGATGTTGCTGAAATCCAGTAATTTCCTAATAACATGAGATGTTGTAAAACTTAGTTGATAATCTGTTACTCAAATTCTGTAGTTTTTAAGATCACTTGTGCTGAGTTGTTAGTCTAACTAAAAAACCAAAACACTTACAAGATAAAGATGAGTAACTGCCACTAGGCCATCACATCATGTGTGCTTTAGGGTTGTTGGTCTTGGAGTGGGTAAGACAGTCTTAGACGTGTTGGTGTGGGTGTGGGTGAGATAGTCTCTGACGTGTGAATGTGGGTGTGGGTGAGACAGTCCCTGACGTGTGGGTGTGGGTGTGGGTGAGACAGTCTCTGACGTGTGGGTGTGGGTGTGGGTGAGACAGTCTCTGACGTGTGGGTGTGGGTGAGACAGTCTCTGACGTGTGGGTGTGGGTGAGACAGTCTCTGACGTGTTGGTGTGGGTGTGGGTGAGACAGTCTCTGACGTGTTGGTGTGGGTGTGGGTGTGGGTGAGACACTCTCTGACGTGTTGGTGTGGGTGAGACAGTCTCTGACGTGTGAGTGTAGGTGTGGGTGAGACAGTCTCTGACGTGTTAGTGTGGGTGAGACAGTCCCTGGGGTGTGGGTGTGGGTGTGTGTGAGACAGTCTCTGGCGTGTTGGTGTGGGTGTGTGTGAGAAGTCTCTGGCGTGTTGGTGTGGGTGTGTGTGAGACAGTCTCTGACGTGTTGGTGTGGGTGAGACAGTCTCTGACGTGTGGGTGTGGGTGAGACAGTCTCTGACGTGTTAATGTGGGTGTGGGTGAGACAGTCTCTGACGTGTGGGTGTGGGTGAGACAGTCTCTGACGTGTTAATGTGGGTGTGGGTGAGACAGTCTCTGACGTGTGGGTGTGGGTGAGACAGTCTCTGACGTGTGGGTGTGGGTGAGACAGTCTCTGACGTGTGGGTGTGGGTGTGGGTGAGACAGTCTCTGACGTGTTGGTGTGGGTGTGGGTGAGACAGTCTCTAACGTGTGGGTGTGGGTGAGACAGTCTCTGACGTGTGGGTGTGGGTGAGACAGTCTCTGACGTGTTGGTGTGGGTGTGGGTGAGACAGTCTCTGACGTGTGGGTGAGACAGTCTCTGACGTGTGGGTGTGGGTGTGGGTGAGACAGTCTCTGACGTGTGGGTGAGAAAGTCTCTGACGTGTTGGTGTGGGTGTGGGTGAGACAGTCTCTGACGTGTTAATGTGGGTGTGGGTGAGACAGTCTCTGACGTGTGGGTGTGGGTGTGGGTGAGACAGTCTCTGACGTGTTAATGTGGGTGTGGGTGAGACAGTCTCTGACGTGTGGGTGTGGGTGTGGGTGAGACAGTCTCTGACGTGTTGTGTGGGTGAGACAGTCTCTGACGTGTTAATGTGGGTGTGGGTGAGACAGTCTCTGACATGTTGGTGTGGGTGAGACAGTCTCTGACGTGTTGGTGTGGGTGAGACAGTCTCTGACGTGTTGGTGTGGGTGTGGGTGAGACAGTCTCTGACATGTTGGTGTGGGTGAGACAGTCTCTGACGTGTTGGTGTGGGTGTGGGTGAGACAGTCTCTGACGTGTTGGTGTGGGTGAGACAGTCTCTGACGTGTTGGTGTGGGTGTGGGTGAGACAGTCTCTGACGTGTGGGTGTGGGTGTGGGTGAGACAGTCTCTGACGTGTGGGTGAGACAGTCTCTGACGTGTTAATGTGGGTGTTGGTGAGACAGTCTCTGACGTGTTAATGTGGGTGTTGGTGAGACAGTCTCTGACGTGTTAATGTGGGTGTGGGTGAGACAGTCTCTGACGTGTGGGTGTGGGTGAGACAGTCTCTGACGTGTTAATGTGGGTGTGGGTGAGACAGTCTCTGACATGTTGGTGTTGGGGTAGGTTAGACACTGGCTCTACTGGACAAACTTTGTAAACGTGATCAAAATGTTAGGTTATATTGTCTGTTTAATTTTGTGATACTAAACTAAGAAAACTATCGCTAATCACATGATCAAACATTGGACTGCTAGCCCGGAGCTATCGAGTTCGGATCGCGGTCCGGAAAGGGAACTGCTGACGTTCTGAGTCCACCCAGCTCTGACGGGTACCTGACTCACGTTGGGGAAAGAATAGGCGGCTGGGCTTAGTTCTGACCACACCATCCTTTTATATGTCGAGGTCAAGAATCATATTAATTCTACTTCATCTTCCCTTTCTCATCTTCAACTTTAATATAATTTTACAACTTGGATACCATTGTTATCTGTGTACCCATATGTTATGCTTTGAACCTCTCCTAAATGTCTCAGCTTTTCAGAAGATGAACACGAACCACAACCCATTTCAGTTGATTTTCTTACTGCTCAACGTGTGTGTGGTTGTCATAACTACCCTAGTTGTCTTCACCTCACTAGGTCTACAATATGGTTTCCAGGAAGGTAATTCGGTTCATTACGAATGTTAATTTTAATTAGAAACGATAATTATGTCACTAATTAAGAAATAGACAATGCTACTTATGTTAAGAAAGAACAAAAAATTACATATTCAACCTGGCCAATAATGTGCATGATACTTTTATCAACTAATTGTTATAATTTAGATTGACATATCGTTAGATTTGACTTGTCAATAACAGATTGACCTTGTTACTAACAGTTAGATTGACCTTGCTATTAGACGTTAGACTGACCTTACCACTAAAAGATTGACTTTACCACTAAAAGATTGACCTTACCACTAATAGATTGACCTTGCCACTAACAGATTGACCTTGCCACTAACAGATTGACCTTACCACTAACAGATCGACCTTACCACTAAAAGATTGACCTTACCTCTAATAGATTGACCTTGCCACTAACAGATTGACCTTGCCACTAACAGATTGACCTTACTACTAACAAATTGACCGTATCACTAATTGACCTTGCCACTAACAGATTGACCATGCCACTAACAGATTGACCTTACCACTAAAAGATTGACCTTACCACTAATAGATTGACCTTGCCACTAACAGATTGACCTTACCACTAACAGATTGACCTTGCCACTAACAGATTGACCTTGCCACTAACAGATTGACCTTACCGCTAAAAGATTGACCTTACCACTAATAGATTGACCTTGCCACTAACAGATTGACCTTGCCACTAACAGATTGACCTTACCACTAACAAATTGACCGTATCACTAATTGACCTTGCCACTAACAGATTGACCTTGCCATTAACAGATTGACCTTGCCACTAACAGATTGACCTTGCCACTAACAGATTGACCTTGCCACTAACAGATTGACCTTGCCACTAATGAAACATTTCCCTTCCCTGCCAGCTATCCCCAACCTGCTGCGGCATGACCTTGAAAACATCTCGTCTGCTGAGCCCAGCCCCATCTCCCCCGCCCCTTGGTTCCACCCCATCTGGGCCGCCATTTTCATCCTGCAGGTCCTGTGGTCGGTCTATGGCGTCGTGTCGGTGTTCCGTAAGACGGCCGGCGTACCTGTGTACACGTCACCAGTCCTGCTGTCTGTGACGGTTCTCTTGTTCTTCATCGTGGCGTGTGGCTTCAACATTGCCTGGTTTATTTTATACGACAGTAGGTTTCAAATGTTTAATTGTTTTATACGACAGTAGGTCTCAAATGTTTAATTGTTTTATACGACAGTAGGTCTCAAATGTTTAATTGTTTTATACGACAGTAGGTCTCAAATGTTTAATTGTTTTATACGACAGTAGGTCTCAGATGTTTAATTATTTTATACGACAGTAGGTCTCAAATGTTTAATTATTTTATACGACAGTAGGTCTCAAATGTTTAATTATTTTATACGACAGTAGGTCTCAAATGTTTAATTATTTTATACGACAGTAGGTCTCAAATGTTTAATTTTTTTATACGACAGTAGGTCTCAAATGTTTAATTTTTTTTACGACAGTAGGACTCAAATAATTTATTATTTTATACAATAGTAGGTCTCAAATGTTTGATTATTTTATACAATAGTAGTTATCAAATGTTTAAATTATGTTATTCGACAGTAAATGATGTAGATCGAATTATTTGTCGGTGCATTTTGTGTCACGTATTAGGATTAGATTTATGATTTTAGAAGTCAAATATACAGCTTAATTATTTTTTTCTATGTTACTAGATATTAGACTTTAAAGTTAAATCTTCAGATGACAAGTTTATCTTATGTGTTTATAATTTTTAGGCCAATGTAATAAAATAAATGTGGTAAGATTTTCGTTTTACACTGAGTAGAACTGAGTCTAACATAGCATACATGAAAGCCAGACATTTAAATCGTTAAATGACCTTTGCCATTGACCCCAGGGAAGTACACGTCCACATCCTGTGCCTTCCTGTTTGTGAGCGTCGTCTCGGGCTGGATCTCGTTCTTCACGGCCACCTACCATCTGGCCAGCAACGTCTACCGTCTGCGGAAATCTGAGAGACGGACAGAGATCTATCTGGTCAGATTGCTGGTTCATGTAAGTCATAGATATGTCGTCAGTCATAGATATGTCGTCAGTCATAGATATGTCGTTAGTCATAGATATGTCGTCAGTCATAGATATGTCGTCAGCCATAGATATGTCGTCAGTCATAGATATGTCGTCAGTCATAGATATGTCGTCAGTCATAGATATGTCGTTAGTCATAGATATGTCGTCAGTCATAGATATGTCGTCAGCCATAGATATGTCGTCAGTCATAGATATGTCGTCAGTCATAGATATGTCGTCAGCCATAGATATGTCGTCAGTCATAGATATGTCGTCAGTCATAGATAAGTCGTCAGTCATGGATAAGTCGTCAGTCATTGATATGTCGTCATTCATAGATATGTCGTCAGTCATAGATAAGTCGTCAGTCATGGATAAGTCGTCAGTCATTGATATGTCGTCATTCATAGATATGTCGTCAGTCATAGATATGTCGTTAGCCATAGATAGTTCATGTAAGTTAGAGATTATTCATGTAAGTCATAGAAAGTTCATGTTAGTTAGAGACAGTTCATATTAGGCATGGACCATAGCATGAAGTTGTTCATAACACTGTCAAAACGTTGACGACGAAGACAATAATGAGAATCGTTTGTCTCCAAATGTTGTTTTTCTACCACCTTGTCCCCATCCCTGTCTATTAACCGCTTTTTCTTCCATACTACTGTAGCCTCAACTATATGAGCCATGTTATTATGCTAACACCACCCCTAGCACTCTAGTCCCATTTATATTAGCCATGGTATTATGCTAACACCACCCCTAGCATTGTAGCCCCAACTATATGAGTCATCTTATTATGCTAACACCACCCCTAGTTCTCTAGTCCCATTTATATTAGCCATGGTATTGCTACCACCACCCTTAGCACTCTAGCCCCAACTATATGAGCCATGGTATTGCTACCACCACCCCTAGCACTGTAGCCCCAACTATATGAGCCATGGTATTGCTACCACCACCCCTAGCACTGTAGCCCCATTTATATTAGCCATGTTATTGCTACCACCACCGCTAGCACTGTAGCCCCATTTATATTAGCCATGGTATTGCTACCACCACCGCTAGCACTGTAGCCCCAACTATATGAGCCATGGTATTGCTACCACCAACCCTAGCACTCTAGCTCCAACTATATGAGCCATGGTATTGCAACCACCACCCCTAATAATCTAGCCCCACCTATATGAGCCATGGTATTGCTACCACCACCCCTAACACTGTAGCCCCAACTATATGAGCCATGGTATTGCTACCGCCACCGCTAGCACTGTAGCCCCATTTATATTAGCCATGGTATTGCTACCGCCAGCGGTATAACTGTAGCCCCATTTATATTAGCCATGGTATTGCTACCACCACCCCTACTTACGATTCGCCATGTTGCTCCACAGAATGGCATGTCCGCCTACGCCATGTGGTGCTGGCATGTTCTATGCTACAACATCACCGTGGCCGCCATACACAACAGCAAGATCAAGCTTAGCCCAGATGTGGCCAGTATCGTAAGTACATTGTCACGTGATGGTGTGGCTTGTGTACATTATCACGTGATGTTCTCACGTGAGTACACTGTCACGTGATGTTCTCACGTGAGTACACTGTCACGTGATGTTGTGACTTTAGTACACAGTCACGTGATGTTGTGGCTTGTGTACACTGTCACGTGATGTTGTGGCTTGTGTACACTGTCACGTGATGCTGTCTATTGAGTACATTGTCAGGTGATGCTCTCACGTGATGCTGTCACATGACACTTGTCTTGTACCTGACTGTTGGTGTTGTCCAAGTTTACTTTTGATGTACCCAACATACGATGAGTCTCCAAGAGAGAATTACATGAAACATCTTCCAATGAAACTGATTTTTGCTAAAGGTTTCATTTCAACGAAACAGCACTATTCAAAAACATTAACCATCGTAATTAGACACAGCCTTTAACTGATCTTCTGGCATTGTGTGTGAGTTGAACTTAGACAATTTGACTCGCGAGCAGGGTACTGCCTTCATATAGACTCACGTTCAAGAGTTGAGTGAAATAAGTTTGTTGGTAGCAAGCCATAATATTTTACTGACAACATTGCTTTGACTTGCACAGTTTTAACTTGAGCTATATATATATTAACCCACACACAAATATCACGGTGAATGTCTTCGTTCATTACAGATTGGCTTGTCATTTATTGGAGCGGCCCAGCTGACTTACCTCTTGGTCGACGTCATTTGTCTGGATAGATTTACAAGGTATGTAACTCGTGTATTAAATTATTTACAAGGTCCGTAACTCGTGTATTAAATTAGTTACAAGGTCCGTAACTCGTGTATTAAATTATTTACAAGGTCCGTAACTCGTGTATTAAATTAGTTACAAGGTCCGTAACTCGTGTATTGAATTATGTACAAGGTCCGTAACTCGTGTATTAAATTAGTTACAAGGTCCGTAACTCGTGTAAAAAATTATTTACAAGGTCCGTAACTCGTGTATTAAATTAGTTACAAGGTCCGTAACTTGTGTATTAAATTAGTTACAAGGTCCATAACTCGTGTATTATATTAGTTACAAGGTCCGTAACTCGTGTATTAAATTAGTTACAAGGTCCGTAACTCGTGTATTAAATTAGTTACAAGGTCCGTAACTCGTGTATTGAATTATGTACAAGGTCTGTAACTCGTGTATTAAATTAGTTACAAGGTCCGTAACTCGTGTAAAAAATTATTTACAAGGTCCGTAACTCGTGTATTAAATTAGTTACAAGGTCCGGTAACTCGTGTATTGAATTATGTACAAGGTCTGTAACTCGTGTAATAAATTATTTACAAGGTCCGTTATTCGTGTATTAAATTAGTTTCAAGGACCGTAACTCGTGTATTGAATTATGTACAAGGTCTGTAACTCGTGTATTGAATTAATTACAAGGTCTGTCACTCGTGTTTTGAATGTAGTCCCTGAGCTGGTTCTAACAAAGAGGGTTTTTTTTTTATTTATTTTTGTTTTCATCCCTATAAAACACCATTAAAATAAAGAAAATACCGGTAACTCATGTTAGTTTTGTCTAGAAGCACAAACAGAGTTGCCTACCTTTATGTTTCCATGCCTCCTGTGTTCCAGGTACATTGTGGCGCCGTACATCGTGACGATCCCCGCCTGTCTCTACAGAGCACATGACTGGCCCAGCAATGCCGAGGACTTCATCCTCCTCATCAGCCTGCTGTCGTTTGCCTTCTTCTCGCTCATGGTCAAGTGTCTGTTCATCACGTGCCGCATCGTGCGACCAACATCCGGTGGAGGGGAAATCACTTTTGTTTCCCACACCTCGCCATCCACCAGTGAAGATCGCTACTTACTCAAGGAGAAATAGATCGAGAGTTATAACCCTTGGGTTTCAACAGGAGAAATAGATCGAGAGTTATAGCCCTTGGGTTTCAACAGGAGAAATAGATCGAGAGTTATAACCCTTGGGTTTGAACGATGGATATTTAACTGGGTTTTCTTCATTCTATGATGACAGTTTTATTTTATAGCATACTTATTCATATATAATTGTGTGTATATGAAAACAAAAATATATCCCAAGTTTTTGTCAATACATCTAAAAACCAGAACTTACTCTATATATAACAAATGTATAGCTATTAACGATATTATTATTAACAGAGTCAAAAGACATTATATATACCCCTTTATTTACCCTTTTTGAAAAAATTTACATGTTTAAACTGATTTTATTTCTGCCTTTTTAGTGGGATAGGCGTTTATAGCAAATAAGAAAAAATAGGTTAATACGTTTCAAATGTACATAACTCAATCGAAAAAAGATAGTTTGTAACTTCCGCTAACAGTTTAGATTGTAATGTTTTTTTTTAACCTGGTTTTAAATAACTTGTGGGTTTAAAATGTTCTTTCTCTCACTTCATTTTTGGCCACTGTGATTCAAAGTAATTTTCATTGTTGGCCATTTTGATTCAAAGTACTTTTCATTGTTGGCCACTGTGATTCAAAGTACTTTTCATTGTTGGCCATTTTGATTCAAAGTACTTTTCATTGTTGACCATTGTGATTCAAAGTACTTTTCATTGCTGGCCACTGTGATTCAAAGTACTTTTCATTGTTGGCCACTGTGATTCAAAGTACTTTTCATTGTTGGCCACTGTGATTCAAAGTACTTTTCATTGCTGGCCACTGTGATTCAAAGTACTTTTCATTGTTGGCCACTGTGATTCAAAGTACTTTTCATT